GTGAATGGCACTTTTAAGTTGGCAACAAAAGCACCATTTTTGACTGACTGCTTTATCTTTCCCAGTGCAGCAATGTCCAAATCAATGAATAAAAGGTTGTGTAGTTTGTTTGTTTGAGAGAGAGAGAGAGAGAGAGCCAAAAGATTTTCCTTTCCATTTACATCTCATATTTACAGAATAATGCCCTCTAACTCCCTCTACAAAAAAGAAGGGTAGAATCGCCGAGTCGTCTATCTGAAATAACCGTTTGTCAGGACGATCCACCACTGAAGTCTTTTCCACAACCCAAGACTGTAACATTGTAGATCGATTATGTACACTGTATAATTATATAAATCTAAATGCAGAAATTGGAAGTAAATTATCTTTTCTTTCCTCCTTCCCTCCCTTCTACTTTTTTTTCCTTTTTGTGCTCTGCCATTTTCGCAATTCTCTGTGGCTGACACTTGAGCAGCAGTGAGTGATCAGTTGCTGACCAGCTCAAGGATAAATACAAGGAGACAAGAACCCAAACTAAAAGGAACAAACTAAAAAGCAAAGTTATCAACTCTTCTCACTAATCCGGACGACATCCACGACTGTTGCATTGCAAAAAAAGCATCTGTGGGAATTCAAAAGATGCCTCGTTATGCAGCCATAACAAGACCTATGCGAACAAGGTGAAAACTTGGCATCTGCCTCACAAGCATAACAAATGCAGCACATGTCATCATTCCCATCTGTTTCTCCCCTGTATATCGTATTTTCTTGTGATTGGCTCTGGCTAAGGAGGCTAAGAAAATTTTCTAACTGGGCAAGTTTTACAAGATAAGCATCGCCTCTAAAGGTTCCAGCCTGGAAAATAAACCAACTACAGTATAAACAAGATGGTAAATACAGCATATTTGTGTAAAATCCAATGAAGAGCTTTTTCCTTTCTTTTGTCATCTTTTTATCCTCTTCTCTTGAGAGAGAAACCTACTGAAAAATAATTTGTTATATGGAATTCGATGTCAAGGACTCAGCTATATGAACCACCTAAAGACACAGCTACAAACCCCACCAAAATCACGGAAGGATGCATACATGTGAAAAGATCTCACTAATTGAGTTAAATGCTTCACAGAAATCGTGAACAAGTAGAAACCAGATTACTGATGTTAATTAATTGCATGCACATCTAGGACGGGACTGATAAACTTGCTTTACATTCACAAGAGAAAAAAAATAAGTTCTAAAATATTTTTAATTTTTGTTAGATGAAAAGACTATGCATACCAAGTTCGGCAGAAATGGTGGCCGGAAGTGTGAGAACGACCGGCATCTTTTTAAGTTCTAAAATATTTTTAATTTTTGTTAGATGAAAAGACTGCATCTCTTCAGCCCACAGAGAGAGAGAGAGAGAGAGAGAGAGAGAGAGAGAGAGAGAGAGAGGCTAACCCAGTTGTAATCCAAAAGGTATTGGAATCTGCAATGAAAACTCTCAAGGCAACCCATGCTTGCGAAGATGCTCACTACATCGTTGTGTTCCATGCATTCCATCTGTTCACTAGCATTTAACAAATTCAAGATAATACCAACAAGAGGTGCCAATATCATTCCTCGGTTTACTTTTTCTAAGGATTGACCATGTCTTCTCAGCGACCTGCAAAATAGAATGCCTTAAATGATACATGAAAAAGAAAAATGTAAGAGAATACGATCAACCAACAGTGAGAAAGCTCGATCAAAGTACAAAAGTAAAAGCAAAAGTGAAAATTCCAAAACAATTTGAAGACCGTCATGGATCAAAAGTAAAATCAAGGATTTTCCATGGAACAGCTTGCCATCAATACCAATCCCCACAACTTCAAATATGGAATTCAAAGGAATCAATTAGTAAACAATATCACAGAACTACAATGAAAAAATATGATCAACCGACATTTATCAAAATTTAAAAGGAGTGGGAATAAATGTTTCGATCCTCTTATTTTTATTTTATTTACATGCATATGCCCCTCACAGTACAATGCTGCATGGCAGTTTACACCACCATCATTAAATCAAATAAAAAATAGATAAAAAAGATAAACATAAAACATAAAAACTATGAAAAATAAAGGGAACTTTTATTTACACCCCAAAACCAACTTCGTGCATTGCTTATGGTGAGAGCAAAGATAAGTTCATTTTTGGAGTGCATCAACACAGATAAATTGGAAAGTAATAACCGTCTTTGTATTTGCAGGCACAGAATCTTACAAGTCAAAAAACTCAGCATCTTCTGCTGATGTTATGTGGCTCAGAATAAAGACTATTAACTCAGTTAACCTTCGAAGGTTTGTTTCAGCTCCAGATAGAAATGCTTGAGGTATCGCATGGGTACAGAACTCCAAAACCCTTGCAAGGTTGCATGAAAGATCAAATATGACACTGCATTTCTTTTGCTGGAACTCTAATACCTGCAAGAGATGTTTACTTCAAAATTAAAAAATACAAAATAAAATCTAATGAGGGAAATACAAAAAATTGGAACATAAAATAGCCAAGTAAAAATTTGCACTTTTTTCATGCATAGCGTTCTAACTATTACTGACTATACCACAGTCAAACATGAGTATCCTCAGTCTGGACTGACCTAGTTAACCAGGAACCGACAGGGCAGCCAGAACAATTTCACCTTAGAAGAGGACTTTCATTGAACTAGTTTGCTTTTGATGAACTGTTCAGTTCATTTTACTTTGAAACATATATTGTTGTGACAATAAAATTGTGAAACCAAGTCAACTTGTTTAAATATGAGGCCATTTATTACCAAGTCACTAACAGGAGGCCATTTATTACCAAGTCACTCCAATATCTTTTCACTATGGTCAACTTGTTTAAATATGAGGCCATTTATTACCAAGTCACTCCAATATCTTTTCACTATTTCCTCTCAAATTTGTTAAATAACCCGCCTTCTAGATCTTGTTCTTTAATGTAACCAATGGCAATGGACTAAACTAGCAAATATTAGAAAACTTAAAAACACACAAGAATTATACTGGTTCGGCATAACTTTTGCCTACGTCCAGTTGTGATTTCTCTAGGTAGAGAAATCACCGCTCCTTTGATTAATAATAGAGATTACAGAACTTTTGCAACCCTAGAACTAATCTCATAACTCTTGGCTGTCTCTGGCTGTTTTTCTTACTCTCTAAAATAAGCCCTGCCTCACCCTATTTATAGATATATTTTCTTACTCTCTAAAATAAGCCCTGCCTCACCCTATTTATATATATATAGTTGGCTTACATGTCCCAAGACTGATTGAATTCCTATTCCTAAGTGGATTAGGAAATTAAACTTATCCAAATCCTAATAGACTTCTGGAAATCCAAACCCAAATTGAATAAGGAAAACTGAAATTCTTTCCTAATCCTTCTAGGACAAGAATTGGTATACCTCTAATTTTCCTAAAACAATCCTAAACCAACTAGGACATATTTGACGAGCCAAAATCCTAACAAAAGTTCCCCATCCCCTGTTCTTTTTTCTTCTTTTTTTTCCCTTAATATTACTTCGTAAGTGCACTCTGTGTTCTTTTAGATCCTCTCCCCATGACAATAGCAACCCCCACAATGAAGTCCAAGCTCATCTATGCATGACATACAGCATAAAGTTTGTGTGTGTACATATTTATACACAGAGAGAGAGAGAGAGAGAGAGAGTCTTTCTTCTCAATAAAACCAAAGCGTGTTTAAGCTAGAGTTATATAAGTAGAAAACAGAGATAAAACTAATCAAGTAAAACACAAATCAAATAGTAATAATAATAATATATTACTACATGTCTGAATAGGGATAAAATTATCCACACCTGGTACTTCTCTTGCATTTCTCTAACTGAAACTGAGAATTCAGTCATTGTCCAGCTGAGAGTGTTAAACAGGCGATTGAGAAAAGCTGAGAACAACTCTTCATCACTGACACAAGTTTCCCCTAACAATCTCTGCATGAATTAAGAGGCCAGAGAAGAATCAGAAGCTATTCGATGGTAACAAGATATACGATGAAAATTCTAAAGCAAAATTAAAGAACATTCACCTGGAAGACAACAGATGATGACGACTCTCCATGCTTTGAAGAACCAAAGCCAGACCCCTTGCACAAACGCAGAAGAATGTTCGTCACTGGGATCCAGGATCTATTATCAAATGCTGACAGCAATGCCTTTGGCATCCTCTGTGTGGCTGCTTCATTACTCTCAAAACCGGCCAAATATTCTTTGTACTGTACCAAGACTGAGATCGATTGGAGAAGCAGGTCCCTTAGATCAGCACTCGATATTCGAGGATCATTGAAGTGCGTGACCACAAAAGTTACCTGTGAAACAAGACACAGATTCAGCATTCCAAATACATTATTCGAATATCTAGGGAAAAAAGAATCCCAAAAAAAAAACTCATAATCTTCATGAATAAGCTGGTCATGTTGGCCTGTCAATGGAAAAATCAGGGTCCAAATTTCAGAGGATCTATGCTAAAAAAGCTAAAGCACATAAAATATGACAATCATATTTTTCCCTTAATAGGCATGTGTAACATAGCAAACTTCAGAGTTATTGTTTTTCAGGTAAATCAAAACACAAATTATTTTGGTGCTCAATTGTCACATCTGAAAGGAATAATTTATGTTCATTACAGTGGATCCTTAATTTATTTTTAAAGAATTATCAGTTTAAACAATTATCGTTTTTAAATCCAAAAGCCAGTAATCCATCGACAAATTACAGGAGTACATTTGTATTTTTCAGTATGTAACTGTCATGTTAAATTGTACACAGAGTAGAGCACATAATAGAAAGTAGGAAACACAAGGTTAAAAGATAAAACATACAAATGAAGCAAGGCCTTGCTTGATAAATATTGATGAAGGTACAAAGGGAGGATCACTTTTGCGCAACACATGGAAGCAATCAACCTGCAAGAATAGTAGAGCAATGAATAATTCCAAATAAAGAGTGCTTCTGAAAGCCTGGCTCAATATTTTTTGGTGGAATGAAAGCCTGGCTCAATAAGTCATAGCAATTTGTGGCTATATCTAGTATTTCCAGAAACTTTAAGAGAGCAGAGAACCTTTTTCTATCCTCATTTTCCTTTTTATACTTGTCACATACAAAAGATCAGAAGTTAACAAATTTGTAGAAATATTTAAAGCTCTCTCAGAATTTTTCCAAGCAATTACAAAGCATCCTAATGTAATTCCATAACCACTCTCAAGGGATAGTACATACTGGGACCACCCGATATTTTTCTGGAGAATTAGTAACATGTGAATATCATCCTCAAAAAACCATCGAATAAAAAGAACTTAAGACAGGAATATTCTTATTACATGATGCAATAAAACAAGAGCAAACACAAGTATTAATGCTTATCATATGCAACAAATCAAGTGAAAACATAATCTTTCTCCTATCAGAAGGGAAAAGCGCAAGCACTCATACTCAAATCAATTTTACAAATGTTTTTGACAAGGATTCACTGCACATCAAATCTGTTAAGTTCAACAAAAGAAGAATCAACTAACCAGAGCTTCCAGATAATATTCAGGGATATACAGGAACAGTAGATCCACTTTGCTAAGAACCAGAAGCAACTGGACAGTCCACATGCATGTTGCATACATTCCTCTTTGCTTCCATCGAGAAATTAGAGTAATACGGTACCTGTAAGCCATGACAGAGTGACCAAAGGAAACATAGTACATAAATGTATGCAAAAAAACTAAACTATATATATATATATATATATATATACACTATGCGGACGTCCGGATGTTATTATAGTGTGGAAGCCATGTCTTTTCTACTACCCTTCCCTACTTTTCTCCATGTTTACAGTGGTATCCGAGACATCCGGACGTGAGAATAATATATATATATATACATTCCCCTTCTATTGATGGATCCCTCAAATAAAGACACCCTTTAGGGTCCCATATGATTTTTTTTTCAACGATCCAAACCATCCATTTGTTAAGTTGAGGGGCACCCTGTACATGGAGCTTCAATTGAGGGATCTCTCAAATAAGCTTATTTGAGGGACACCGCTATAGGGCCCACTATGCATTGTATTTCACTAATCCAAACTGTCTATTTTGTAAATATTCACTCAAAGACCATCTCTACATAAAATCACTTGAATCTGATATCATTTGACTACTCAATTGAGTTATTGAAATTTTAGTACTTTCTTGAAACACCGTGTTCATTGATTTTGTAGGACACAATTGGATGTAGGAAACGGTTTCCGATTTGTCTAATTTTTAGCAAGGATGATCTATGAATACAAACTTAACAAATAGATGGTTTGGATCGTTTAAAAAAAAATTCATATGTCCTAAAGGGTGTTCCTCAAATAAAATTATTTGAGAGATCCCGCGATAGAAGGGGACTGTAATATATATGCATATAGGGTCAGGATCAGGCAACACACAAAAAAGCCACACATTTTGACACACCTTATTAACCATTGGATTAAAGCACATTTAATGGCTGAGATTTGATCTGACTATATAATCATTTAATATTTAATAAAAATTGTGTAGTGCCTTGAAAGTATAAATGCGGACAACTTTTAATGTCCTCTTGTTTCTCTC